TGCAAGAGGCAGCTGATTGATGTTTTTCTCCCATTGATGTTTCTAACTCTCTATCTTTCTCCTTTCCTCTCTGTAAAAAAAATCAATAAAATATATTTTTAAAAAGACAAAAAATATAATTCTACAACATTACAGATCCCGCCAAACTTTTTTTCCCCTAAAAATTATAAACATGTGCTTTCAATTTTAGAATTTTATTTGAAGGGCAAATAGGTCCCAGGTACAAAACCCAGGCATCTATTCTCTCTTCTATTTCTTTCTCAAATCTTTCTAAATTATTTAAACAATTTCCATGATCACAACTGCCACATAAATCTATAAATTTCAAATATCTACCTCTCTTCATGACATCTTTCTTTCTGCACTCCCCTTATAATTCCAATTTGTATTTGAACTTTCTGCTTGGATATATTGCAATGACCTCAAATAAAACATGTCCTAAACTGAACAACTTAGCATTCTCCCACACAAACTAGTCTTTCTCATATTGACTTCTCCTTTATAAATAGGAGTACAACCTTTTCAGTTTCTCAAACTGGAAAGTTCAGTGACATGTGTTCCTTCTACACCCACCTTGCATTTAAATCAACACAAATTCCTTAAGATAACCTAAATTATCTCTTAACTTCAGTCTTTCATCACAACACTGTTCTCATAACTTTTATTATTTCTCCCCTGGAAAGAACTTCTGATCTGACCTTTCTCATACCAATATTTTCTGACATAGGTTCCTTTTCCACTTGAGTGATATTCCTCAAAATAGGAATCTACTAGTATAATGAAACCATCACCATCAGCAACAAATCTCCATATTTATTGTTCTGTTCAAACTCTGCCTAGCTTTCCAGTGATCATAAGGTACACAAATCAATCTTCATCTGTATCCTGTCCAGTTACATTTCCTATGACTCTTTCCTGTGTTGTTTATTTGCCAATGTTAATGAACTCTTTACTACATCACACACACATCACAATCTCTATAACTAGGCTATTACACATGTTTTTCTTTTCACCTAGAAAAGCTTCTCTTTTCAAAGTATTGCTCATCCTGTAAGATCAAACTACAATTGCACTTACATTACGAAGCCTTCCTTGAAGTCTTCATCCACATTCCTCCTGAACTTTGCTAATGCCTTTTTTATACAATTTTTGATGCTACACTGACTCTTTGATTATACCATGAATTCCTTGAGTGCTGGAACTAAGTCTTAGTTAATATTGTATCTAGCACATAAACAATGTTGCACACTTAATGTTTTATACAACATTATGAAGGGCAGTAGTACATGAACAGTTAAGGGAATTAGAATTTACTAGGACCATTGGGGGCCAGAGGGTCTTTTAAAATGGCAAATGAGCAATGGAGGGGAGGGGCAAGAAGGAACTTGTTGTTTTTATTTATTCAGATTTATAGCTTAGAAAATGTTTTGGATTACTTTACTATTGACTATAATTATCTCCCTGTTACCTAATGCAGAAATCGGTCACTAACCTTATAAGGCTATAGTATTCATTCATGTGTTATAAATGTTTGATCTAATGGAAAGAGATGGCTCTACTGGCAAAGCTGTGTGCATTTAATACAATTCCATGGCTAGTTTTTGGACTTGGCTCAGACTCTTAAAAAAATCCAGATATGGACTAGAGAGCTGACACCCTTTGCCCCTGGTGTCCCTGGTGAATATTAGCACTCATGAAGATAAAAAAACCAAACTTCCTGTTTGATTCTTCCTCTGGTTTTAATTTTTCCTTCTTGTTAAACACTGCGTTTTCTGTTTGTTTCTTCTCCTTTAGACCTACTGCATAACTTTTGACCGTATCTTTCTACAAATTGATGTATTATAGTATATCTACAAATTGATGTCTACATGACCACTACCTTGTTTTACAGGGCTGTACAAATTGCCTTATCTATATAACACTCTTAGAGACAGCCATGGACAGGAATACCTGAAAATTATCATTGAAAACACAAAGATTGGAGCCAGGAACAGGGAAAGATTTGGCAAATGAAGTGTTGGTTCACGAGGTGTATATTCATATGAGGACTCAACAATGAAGCCTCTTACATAATATGTGAAATTGTGATCCAGTCTTCCAAGACTGTCTGCCCTGATCCCAATAAAACATCACATTTTCAACACGCTTGCATTGATTTTTCATAAAAAAATATTGTATTCTGTCTCAGAAGCATACTAGCTAGTGGAACTCTGAAGTAACTTTTTTTCTACTCTATGATCAAGTACTGAAGTGTCTGAAAGGAAAATGGAACTCTTAAATTTTTCTGGCATCTTCAGGTGGAAGCATCATAAATTCAAAACTGAGCTACTCGGTCTACCCACTGGTGCTGCTTGTATCTCTGGTCTTCAGTGGGAAACAGCTAGCAGGGATTTTGCCTCACCTTTCTTAAAACTGCAGCCCCACTTTGATCTTTATATATTTCAATCAAACTGAAATCACCAACTGATGACAAAATGCCTAACAAACATCAGGCTTCATTTCTATCTGTGCCTCATCCTTTGTGCCTGTACTTCATCCTTCTATCAAGATTGGATATCTTGGTGGTTGTTATATAGATACATTCAGATTGGGATCTTGTTCTCTTCCTTAAGACGTGCCTAACTTAGGCTGCATCTACAGAAAACATAAACTGGGTGACTTAGCCGAAACCGATTTGGCTCAGTGGATAGAGCATTGGCCTGCGGACTGAAAAGTCCTGGGTTCGATTCCAGTCAAGAGCATGTACCTTGGTTGTAGGCACATCCCCAGTGGGGGATATGCAAGAGGCAGCTGATCGATGATTCTCTCTCATCGATGTTTCTAACTCTCTGTCCCTCTCTCTTCCTCTCTGTAAGAAATGAATAAAATATATTTTAAAATAAAAAAACTAAATAAATAAAAAATAAACAATAAACTGGGTGACTTAAAAAACAAATGTTTATGGAAGTTCAGGAGTTCTGGAGGCTGGAACTCCGAGATCGGGGTGGCTGCATAGTTGGATTCTTAGTTGGTGAAGGCCCTCTTCCTGGTTTTCAGGTAGTCACCTTCTTGCTCTATATTCATGTGACAGAGAGTGAGTGCTTTGGTCTCTTCAGCTTCCTATAATGGAACCAATCTCATGATGGGGACTCCATCCTCATAATTTTGCCTAAACTTAATTACCCACATCCAAATACCATAATATTAGCGATTAGGACTACTATATATAGGGCAAATACAAACATTCTGTCCATAGCAGGACTTGATTGGTGTTACTTGTTATTCCTCACTTCTCTATTGTGGATGGACTGCCACTTGTGCCTTTTATTATTATTTTATTTTAATATTGTATATAAGTCCTGTTCCATAAATATTTTCTGTCACTCCTTGGGTTACCTTTTTAATGTATTAGTGATGTTATTCTGAGTTTCCTCTAGTTCTTTAAATAGCTAGTTTCTATCAATCTGGTGGGTTAAATAAGGATCTTCATTAATCATCTTTTTTTAAGGATCCTGTCAATGAAACATTTTAAGGAGAAGTACAGTATGATCAGATGTTCCATTTTAAAAGATCATTCATGCTATTGTGTGTAAATGATAGGGATAAGAGACCAGTTCACATATTCATCAAACATTTTTAAAGACATCTTGGTTGTTCCTGGTTTGACTGTTGCAGCAGAGAGAAAAGAAGTAGAGATGGAGCCCAGATATATTTAACAGTGAAATCTGAGACTTGGTGGATTAAATGTGAGAGATTGCAAGAGAGGGTGATAACATGCCTGCCTCATAAATTTATGGCTTACGTATTTGGGTGCCATTCAAAACCAAACTCCAATTTTGCCCTTCCCTGTTCAGCATTTTCAATACTTTCCCAAACCATTTAGGGTGAAATATAAAATTCTTAACTTAGTTCTCAGAAATGTTTTAAGTTCTACTTCCTGGTGACATTTTAATCTCACCTCTTATGACTCACTACAAATGTCTCGCACTGCATGTGCAATCTGACCACTTAGAAAAACTTGGTTTTCTTCATACTCATGCTATTTTCCCTAGGCCTTTTCATCCTGCCTAGAATATCCTTCATTTTCTTCTTCTTTAATTAGCTGATTATCTATGAATTTTTAGGCTTACATCAGTTGTCATTTCCTGTGGGAAGATGATGGCTCTTCAGCTATGATTTAGGTTTTTGAAGCACAATTTGCACAATCCTCACATTCCATTCTATAATTATAGGGAAATTACTCTTTTATTGTTTCTGTTTTCAATTAGATTTCAAATTCCATAAAGTCGGGGAACAGATTTCATTTGTACTTGAATTGTTAAGACTTATCATGCTTGCTCTGGCTAGTGTGTTCAATGGTTAGAGCATTGGCCTGTGTACCAAAGGGTCTCAGATTCAATTCCAGGTGAAGGTCACACACCTCAGTTGCAGGTTTAATCCCTGATCCCTGGTTGGTATGCATTGGGGAGGCAACCATTTGATGTTTCTCTCTCTTTCTCTCCCTGCCCTTCCATCTCTCTCTTCTATTCTCTCTAAAACACAATCCTCAGGTGAGAATTAATGAACAAACAACAACAAAAAAGGACTTAGCATACAATAGGTGTTCAATATACTATTTCATTGAATAAATGACATAATGGATAGGTTATTAAATTCTTCTTGATCAGAAAAAATAAAACAAGATTTCATGGAATAATTGTATGGTTTTGAATTAGATTTCTCACTCTTGAAGCTGCAATAGAATTGGGACAGGCACAGGTATTGGCACAGACCAAGCAAAAAGAACTTATGTCTTGAGTTCCTGAGTGAATAAATGGTAAACAAGAAGGTAGGAATTCCAGTTGGAAAGAAGAGTTTGAGTAATGGCAGAAAAGCAGTATAATACAGAATCTGTTTGACCAATTGAAGGAGTCCACTTTGGTTGAAGGTTAGGGTAATTGATGGAGATCATGGGAACCCAAAGGAACTCAACATTTCGATTTTGGATTTGTTTATTTGTATTATATATCATTGCATGACAGATTACATTATCTGTGCTTTCAAGTCATCATTGGAAATCTGGCTCTGACTGAACTGGTGGTATCCAAGATGATCTTGGGTAAACCCGTTTCATTTTTGCTCTCTTTACAGAGTTTGATTTTGTTTTTCTGTGTCCTTGCAAATAACAGGCTTCCATTTCTATCCAAATTCATGTCCTTTGAGAAATATATATTTACATTTTCAAGGAGATTATTCAAGTTTTTACATATGAGCACTTGAACAACAGAATAGAAAGCCCAAAGCACTGGCCTCAAATTCCTCCTGGGCTTCAAGGTCTCTAGCCCATCACAGGTGACCAGTGTGGATACTCATATGGCATGCAAGGTTCTTCCTCTAAGAGTAAGCAAGAAGGTTGGGAGTAATATTGAGTTATTATTCAATAATTTAGTTACATATTTCATTTAAAAAGCAAATCAAAACAAAACAGCATCCAATTACTTTTGCTCTCTATTAAGATTGGTGATTCTCCTTTCAAAGTGGATTAGAATATTCCTAACATCAGGAACCAAGCCTAATTTATACTTGGTAATCTGTTTGTAGTACCTAACAATGTGTTACATTCCTAAATAAATATTCAATACATTCCTAAAGAGATTTTTGTGAACTGGTATTTCCCTTAATTTACTCAGATGTTGTTGTAAAGACTGTCACCAAACACCGCCTATAAAAAATAAATCAGTGTTTAAAAGGCTTTATTCATTATAATAGAGTATCATTTAAAGTTTATTCTAGCTTCCTATGTATACAGCCTAGTTAAGCATGGCCATCTGCAAAGGCTTATCTCTATAGAACAGGCAGAAACATTAATGTCCTTGGAGAAATATATATTTACATTTTCAAGGAGATTATTCAAAATAAAGTACAACAAAGAATTTTTGTTTTGTTTTGGTTATACTAGGCAGAGTTTGAAGAAAAGAGCAGAAATAGGAGTAAGCAATTTCAAGGCATTTTGATTGTAATTGGTGGACAACAGACTAGAGAGAAAATCTTGAAATGCTGTTCGCTTCTCTCTCCATATCCTCGCTGGAACCCAGGGGACGTTTGGGATTGGGGATTTAAATGCCCTGATGGATGAAGAGGCATCCTGTCAAGCCAGTTGTAAGCAGACTGAATAAGGTTGACACTAATGGGAGAATTGAGTGATGATGGTGAGGCTGAAAAGGCAGGGAAGCATTTACCACACACAGCTGGTCATTGGTTCCAAAGAAAAATCAAGAGGCTCGGCAAAAATTACTTGTTACTAAACATTTCTTAGGAACTAGCTATTCTAGAGATTCATTAAATCCATCTATGCCCAAAAATTATTACATGTGTCACCTTAAGCCATTCATTAACACAGAAATAAGGCACAGTGGCTGTTTAGAAAAATGCAGACATTACACGAAGATCTGTATTTTAACAAACAAGAGCTTATCTTATTTAAGGTAGTTTAGAACGATCTACAAGCTATTTAATGAGATTTCTTTTTGCAGGAAACAAGTAAAATAAATCACTGCTCTCCTTCAGGTTTTTTTTTTTCTTTTCATCCCACATGCAAAATTTTAACCACCATGAAAGGAGAAAATCTCTAGTCCTAAAAACTCAATATCTTGTCCACAAATACAGGTAAATGGGAACTACAACCTTTCCATAACAACATTAGCCATTGTGATTTGTTTTCTATTTGCTACAGACTCAACACTGATAAGTGTGAGATGCTTCAAAGTATTTCGGTGCTTGTAATTTGCTTCAAGGACTAAGAGAGACAAGTTTGAAAGCAATATGTTCTGATCATGAAACCTCTGGAAACAGCAGCAACTTGATATCGAGCAATCAAGAACTGAAGGTTTATTTTGAATGGGAGGCATTGTCAGACTGCGAGACTGAGTGAAGCTGAGAAAAAGTGCAAACACAACCAATAGAGACTTCAGGGGTGAAGTTACTGAGAACCTGCTTTGTTGCATGTTTTTCTGCTGCCACATTTGCACTGAACCCGCAGATTGCAATACTGTCTGTGGAGAAAGAGACTGTTCTTCAATTTATTTTTATTCTTAATGACAGCTTTTGAGCTGTCATTTAAAAATACAATGATAAAATGGCTTTTTCAGAAATTAAAAAGTATATTTCAAAGCTCCACTGTATATTGGACAGGTAGGAGTGCCTCATCATTTAATTGTCTTTAATATATATTGCTTCTACAGTCTACATTCTATTTTATTTACTTATTTTTATTATTCAGAGTAATGCAGATGTCCCTCCTTTATTTTCTCCCCCTTATCCCCCACCACCCAGTTCCTAGCTCACCTCAGGCCTTTTGGAATACTATGCAGTTGTAAAAAAAGAAGAATCTGCTGAAATCGGTTTGGCTCAGTGGATAGAGCATCGGCCTGTGGACTGAAAGGTCTCGGGTTTGATTTGGTCAAGGCATGTACCTTGGTTGTGGGCATATCCCCAGTAGGGGGTGTGCAAGAGGCAGCTGATCAATGACTCTCTCTCATCAATGTTTCTAACTCTCTATCCCTCTCTCTTCCTCTCTGTAAAAAAATCAATAAAATATATATTTTAAAAAAAATAAGAAGAAGAATCTATTACCTTTGAGACAGCATGGATGGCCCTGAAGAATATTATGCTAAGTGAAATAAGCCAGTCAGAGAAAGACAAATATCACATGATCTCACTCATATGTGGAATTTAATGAACACAATAAACTCATGAATAAAACAGAACCAGGGGCATGGAAACATGGAACAGACTGACAAATGTCAGAGGGAAGGGGAGAGAGGGAGAAGAAATTAACCAAAGAACTTATATGTATATATGCATTGCTCTGTCATCTATTTTTTATATCAGCTGTTCTCCTTTTTCTGTAGTTGTATAACTGTGGGTAAATTCATTAAAGTTATCCTGGTCCCTACAATGTAATTATTATCATTATTTATTTTAATCCTTATCCCAGGATATGCTTATTGATTTTGAAACAGAGAAATATTGCGAGATAGAGAAACTTCAATTCTTTGCTTCCTGTGTGTAACCTGACCAGGGATCGAACCCAAAATCTAGGAATATGTGCTGACCTGGAATTGAACCTGTAACCTTTTGGTGTATGGGATTATACTCCAATCAACTGAGTCACCCAGCTCTTTGTTAGTGTTACTATTTGATTGATAGAGATCATAGAAGCTGCTCATTAAATATTGTTGGACAATTTATAATTACAGCATTTTATATTTGGATACCACTTTAGGTGTTTGTAAAACACTTTAACATAACTTACTTAATTAAACTTCACTGGAAAACAAATATATTGTCCAAATATGTGTTTCAGGCCTCCTTATTTTATAGCTATGTTTCATGTATCACACACACCCGTCACAAGATATGGGAAGAGAGATACATGACTACATCAGCAATGTTTCCCAAACTCATGCTTTATGCTTTGCTTAGAGTTTCCTTCTGATTATAACTTAAAAAACAAAACAAAACAAAACCTGCCTCCTCTTCATATTATAAGAAAATCACTTGATAATTCAGAAAACCCTTCCTTCCTTCCTTCCTTCCTTTTCCTTCCTTCCTTCCTTCCTTCCTTCCTTCCTTCCTTCCTTCCTTCCTTCCTTCCTCCTTCCTTCCTTTCTTTCTTTCTTTCTTTCTTTCTTTCTTTCTTTCTTTCTTTCTTTCTTTCTTTCTTTCTTTCTTTCTTTCTTTCTTTCTTTCTTTTTCTTAACTCCTATAACTGTGTAAGGCACTGATGGAGTCAGTTACCACATGGACTACAAACATGAATAAGATGAAGTTTTTCACTTAGGTGAGATAAAAATTTTCATTTGCTTTCTTCACCTAATCCTTCCCAACTAGCACTCTCACTAGACACTCATTTTAGAACTCTGAGAGCCTGGGCAGGCTCAACTGTTTTTAGAACTGTTCTCATCTACTTAGATGTACAATGCTCCTTGTCATCTGGTTGCCTTTATATTGCAAAGGGCAGAGGCAAATTATTCAGATCAACATCAGTGGGTCCGGAGTATTGAAATACTCCTCTTAGCCACAATGCCAAGTTACTTTATTTGTTCATGAAGCACTTAAAAATGAGAAAGAACAGCAGGCCTTCAAGAGAGAACAGAGAGAGAGAGTTGGTCCGCAATGCTTTCATTACCAAAAGAGGGTGTTAAAACGCATAGAAATGTAAAATGTCTTTTAAAAAAAATCAATGAATGGCACTGCCAGTTACAGCTCATACCAGGGATCATACAAGGGAATGGTTCTAAAGTATAAAAGGTATTTCAATTATTCCTGCTGAGTGTTAATGCCTTTGAAACTTTGGGGGGGAGGGGACCTGCCAAATAACAGTACCACTGCCTACAGGCTCCAACAAAAATTATAATGTAGTTGTATGGAAGGAAGTACCTTCCTTGGAACATGGATTTTCTGAAAATGTGTGTTCAATCCTGTAGGCTTGAAAGCTGTCAGAACTGACCAGGAGATAAAAGAATAATATAATGTGTTGGCACCCATACATCATTTTTTTTCCTTCTGTGGACTTCAGAGCAAGGTGTGGGTATAACTCAACCTTCTCATGCTGTCACTTAGACTCTTAGCCAGTGTGCTGTATCACATCTAGCAACCTGGGAAGTGACCAAGTCTCACGGTAGGAACTTTTAGGGATTTCATTTCTTGTTAGGCAACCCATACACATAGGCAACCCATACACATAGGCGGCGGTCTGCATAGAGTGTTGCTACATGTCCCAGCCGCATCACTGTTACACCCCACTTACTGCTCTGTCAGGTAACAAAAGTCAGGGCTTTAACTCAGTCACTTCTTTGGAACCCAGTGTCTACAGAAAAGGCAGAGGGTTTATTACCAAATGAAAACCTGGAGAAGAGGCTACCTCAGACTTTCTCGCTTTATACCAATAGTTTATTAAAAATGGTTCTATTTAAGTTATTTATAGCTCACATCAAGACTGTTATTTAAGGGTTGAGATATTATACTAAAGAACCATTGGGTTCTTATGATATTAGGATTTGTGCGAGATAAAGCTCATTGTTGCCATGGGGATCAGTAAATAGTCTTGATCTGAGACACGAGTTTCTACTGCCAAGACATGGGTGGGAGACGTGGTTCCCACAGACACTGTTTTCTGTAGACTAAAAATACAGTATGATTTCCATTAAAGGGCAAATAAAAAATCATGGTGATAAAGTCTAAAGGGAAACATACCCTATAATTTTCAGAACAATTAAGCAGTGAGCTCACTATCCAATACTTGGAGATATTTGTATGCAATATTAATTATGTTCATGCTCTTTCATGTCAAAGGTGGTGTCACAACTGGAGCTTAATTTTTAATGCTGTTTCACACAGCCTTAATAAAGAAGTCATTTGTGGAGATGGACACATTACACAGACATATATTACTTCATTTCAGGGTTATAATATAAACTAAACACACTGGCATTAACTTTACAAAAGTTGTGTTGGTTTGCAAAATACTGTTTCAAATGGTTGTGATGAATGTAAATTCTATGAATACTGCTTTTAAGACCTCTGGTCAAGACATCTAAAGCTTCACAACATTTCCATGAAATTTATTGTTGAATAGCATGTCAACAGAAATATAATCAATCCTTTGATTTATAGGGTGCTGTAGAGTTGGCAAAATGATTTCACCACCAATCATTTTGCTTGAAGTACTTCACAATCTTGTGAGGTAGACAGTACTGAGGATACATTACTAGTCCCCTTTCATATAATGGGATTGAGAATTAAAAAGGTTCAACTGATGCCAAAATTACATCAATAACAATTGCGAGACTGAACACTAAGCCCCCAACTTAAAACTACTCTCTCTAGTCTATTGTAGCGCTAGGGAAATGACATACTTTATTTTATGTAATTACTCTTATGCACTCTATCATTACATCATCAAGGCACGTAGATTTGATTTTGAAATAATTAAAGCTAAAGCATCATCTGAACTATTGTCTGAAAATTCTGTTAAACTAAAAAGCAGTTCAATAAAAATTTCCATTGGTTGTGGCTTGGTACCCTCATGGTGCTATAGAGGGTATTCATTTTAAGAAAAATTTAAATGAATTGGTTCCTTTCACATATTGAAAGGAACTAATTTTCAGTTCATTATAAATCCTGCCGAGATCAAGTTTTACTTATTTTTCCACTTAAAGGGTAGATTTCCTTCCTATTCTTACTGCCCTTCCCTTCCATGACCTCTTGGCTTGTCAGCCTTATTGAATTTATCATTGCACAATTTAACCTATATTTTTTCATTACTTTGATGGATGTCAAGGTAGAACAGTCAAGTTTTAAAAAAAATATTATTCCTCATACTGTCATTTTTAAGGTATGCTCTTTAGATAGAATATTTGCTGGGCTGTTCCACATTGGTGCAATTCATCAAGGGATCAACACTAATTAAGGTATGAGCATATTGATGGACTTGGAGTTCTAAAGCACATGTTTGCCTTTAAACATCACTCTTTTTCATGCAAGCTCATTCCTCTCTGGCCACAATTTATAAAAGCTGTCACTTGACTTGATAAGGAACTTATTTTACTCAACTGCCCTTTAGGAGAGGCATGTGTTGGTTCCTACTCCCCAAGTCCTCAGAGTTAAGTGTTTCTTGTTTCAATCAGCTTCCATATCATCTCACCCTTTGTGCCTATGAGCCACCCCCATGACCTTCCACAATTTTTTCGCCATAAACTATAGAGTTGGCTTCTTTCGTTTGCAACCAGAGAATCCTGCTTGCTACAGAAGAGTAAAAAAAAAGTGTTATA